CTTTAATGAGCCGCTTCATAAATTCCTTAATCTTCACATGCATTTTTTATAGAAATTTCAAGTTCTGGAATTAAACTCATAAGTCATTTTGATATTGGCACCTTTTGAACATGCAAAGACTGGATCTATTAACTTATTACTTTCGATTTGCACAACTAGCATGTGATAAAATGCCTTCATTGTAACATTTGGGTTTGTCCTTGAGTCAGTTGTAGGCACTGTGTAATAATAAAGTTAGTGGGACACAAAAATATGTTTGATTTAGTTCCATTAAACCTTTTAATTTTAAAATAATGAAGAGAATGTGATACACACCATATGAAAGTCTTGATTCTGAATGGTGATTCGTTCCATGGATTTTGCCTTATATTTTGCAATCCTTTAAGCAAGAAACTTGATTATGAAATATATCTTAGCATATTTAGTTCTGTTTGAAAGAATGGTTAGATTAGAGCTGCAATTACATCTAAATGTGCGGTTTGTAAAGTAAGCAGTATTTGAGAATGTTTTATAAATTCTTCCATGACATTTATACATCAACTAAACAAATGTTAGAATGCGCAAGTAATTTACGAGATAATGTCTTCCTGTTTTGATACTTTACTTTGTCGTCTAACGGGAAACGTAAAACCTCTAAATCCGACCCATCGGGTGCTCTAAATAACGGAAATTATGCCCTCTGTTTTCTCAGTTCAGTTTTAAAGGGTGCGACGAATGTAATTAAGCAAAGTCAAAACACAACCACCTAATCTCGCTAGAAGGTTTATATCGGCAAATTTTGGTCAAAATAGTCTACGAAATCAATGTAGGTACAACGAACACATTTGAGAGAGGGGATGATTGGGTCTCTGAAATGCTATGGTTGGTTGTATGAGACTAACGAAGCAACTACTGCATGCAATCCTGTAGTTGTGATCGAGTAGACTTCTAATTGGATGCAGCACTAATTAGCAGACGATGATTCAATCTTATCGAAATCCAATAATCCCGAAAAGTGGAAATCAATATTACATAATGACGCAGTTAACAAGCGTGTCACTTTTGTGCCCCACTGTTGCATTGCTATGACTGCCTCATTAATCTCCATATTTGGTTTTCTACTTACTGTTTGTACCATCCTTAATGGGCACCTAACTCTATTCTGGTTGCTGCCTGGAATACAGACAGGTCAGCTTAAAAATGACAACTTTCATCTTGTATCTCATGATCGCTTAGTCAGACGCACCTATTACTACGTCTACTTTGAATTCGTCATCGCAGCTGTATGTTGCTCGTTTTGGTTTCTGAGGCTTCTCTCTGGTCTCATGATCCCAAGACTACCGGAACGCAAGAAGGCGCTAGTAACTAGCATTTTACAACAATCGTGGAAGTACATAGTACGACCGTTGACGCTAATCTTATTCATAACAAGCACCTTTGCAACTATCGCAGCCTTCGATGATGCTGGGTTGCTCAATAGCGACGTCACGAATTTCTTCAATCGTATATTTTATCAGCTTCAGGACATAGATCCAAATAAAGGTATGCAAAAAGTCTAATGATTTTTTTAAGAAAAGTTGGCAATCTTGCATAATTTTTTTTCTTAGATATTGTTTTTTTGTACAAATTCTACTTTTTAGAGCATTTGCTTGTAGTTTTGTTCAGCCATCTCAGGTGGATGCAGATCCATATGCATAAAGTCCAATGAGTAAAATGTGAAACTAGTGAGATGATTTAATTAAGATTGACATGAGAAGTGGAAGTCTTGTCAGACGGTGGAAAGATTCTTCATAGGTTAAATAAGAAGGAGTTTAAAAGTATCACGAGCAAGAGCTATGCACTTTAGCAATTGATGAGTAAACTCTTCAGTTGGTAAATGGGAATCAATCGCAGATTTATTAAAAATTCGTAGCCATGATATGTTTTATTAAACTCGCTTGTAAATTTAGATCCTCTAAATGAGTAGACCACTACTGGTAAGAAAATAATCGCATTTCTTTTGTAATGGCTTCAAAAAAATAATGATCATTTTTACAATTAGTCGAAACTCTGCGCGCCATAGGCGCATCCTTTCGTGGTTACGTAATGAGTTAATAAAGTGATGATACATTTGCATTTCTGTATTTGAATACTCTTAAATTACTTTTTCAAGATTAATATTTTTGGTGTTATAATTAGTAGCCAATAGAGAATGGAAAAATAGTGTGAATAACTTTTCAGATGATAGACGTCAACAAAGACTTTTACAATATCTGGAATCCATTCAAAGAGGCTACAGGTGCTGTGGTGGCACAAGTGTTTTGGAGTGGTTTGGCATTTCGCTAGGTGCAGGCAAATCAGTCCAGTCTCAAGCATCAAGTGGTACCTATATTCCCGCAAGTTGTCTGAACTCCCGGAGGAGTTCAGTACTCGTGCCACAGAGAATTTCGGACCTGCACACTTTAATGAAGGGCATCCATTTGGATAAGGTGACCATTTATGCGCCCGTATTTCGCAAAGGATGTATTGAAGCAGTTGGTGATAGGCTTTATCTTGAATTTTATGGCTTTCTAAAGTGTACGAGTCTGACCGATCTCGCTTTAAATGTCTGCCTGCTGTTGATGATTGTCTTTGACCATTGGGATCATTCAAGTTCAGTGGGTACAAAAGCTGACAAAGCAAAGCTTAAGAAATATGTGTCAAATGCAAAATTATTGCAAGCCATTCAAGGCACTCCGCTTTTGGCTAAACAAGTGAAGCTGCAAGAAGTGTATGGCAATGCAAAAGCTGACTGGCTAGAAAAAGGCAGTCGAACTGGCTGGTGTTTGGTGAATAACGGAAAACAGGATAGTGAATATGTACGCCGGATTTACACCAGACGAACTGAAAATCCTGGTCAAATTAAAACAAGCGGTTTTCGTCGATTCCTTCGAACCTACTTACCACTAGTAGAGGCCGTGCTCTATACAGACGGGGATTCAAGATACGAAGTAGAGGGCAATGACTACTACGGTGGCTTTATAGTGACAGTTGTTCGCGTAATTTTTTGTGGTCTCTATGGATATCTTGGAGCTCATATTCTTATTTCTGCTTTTATTACTAATTATAAGGCAGCTCCGGCAGAAGGTGACATTGCAAAAGCCGAGCAGGTTAACAGCGCCACTAAAGAACGCGAAAAAATTGTCGAAGAGCTGGCCTACATGACAAGCGTTCTCGTACGAATCGCCTTTGTTATAGCAGCAATTGTATCTAAGAGGTTTCGATGTTTTCTAGCTCTTCTGGGACCTAACCTAGGACTAACTGCGGGTCAGTCGTTTATTGCTGCCGAGTTAACAAACGTTGCTGTCCATGGACCTGTGCGAGGCTTGGCTACTAACCTGAGGGCAGCTGGTGGTTCGCTCAACTGTTTGATGAAGTTATCCGGCAACATCACCAACGATGCCAACAAACTCTTAAAACCAAGTGGTAAAGGCACATCTGAAGACGAATTTGAAGAAATAGAGGAAGATGAAAATGATGATGATGAAAATCTTGACATTAATTCCATGTCAAATGACACTCAGCAAAATTTTACGGGAATCGTTCGAGGCAAAGACAAATCTAAACTCGTGAAATACCCAAAACTAAAGAGCATAACAAGCTTTAACAGTTTCTTTGTGAAATTGATTAAAAAGGCATCGAGAGGAATTAATCGAGGGGCATCATTCTTGCGAAAACTTACTATGAAAGTACAAAAGGAGGCAAGTCCCTAATTTCTTTTTCAAATGTTTGTTGTACCTATGTAGCACTGGCCAAGAGAAGGACAACAAATATTCATCCTAAGGGGTTTAAACCGAAAATGATTTTATCAAAAACTCCTCACACAAATATCTAAAAATAGCATTTCCTGGAAATTTGTTTACTCCTCTAGTACAGTAAAGTATTAAAACATTGATGCGCAGTGATTTTTCGGGCCAGGTAAAAAAGGCTAAGGGTGAATTTTAGGCAAAATGCCGAAAATTGCACATAAGAAAATGGATTGCAGATCGTGAATAGGCACGTCTCCCACCCTCAGCGATGTTCTTGCTTTTTAAATACTAACCAAAAGGCTTGTAACAGAACTTATAAGATTCATGAGGGGTCTATAAATGCCATAGAGGGTTATTTTCCACAGGTGTGTGGACGACAACTGTGTTACATGGCAATTTATTGTGCACTTGATAATGGGAAGCTTGATTTTTTGCAGCGCATCACAGTTTCTTAATGATTCAAAGCCAGTTATGCTATGTTTCGTTTAAATATTTTTTACTAGTTGTGTTAATCCACCAAGCAGTTTGGTTTATTTGCAGTAATCATTGAGTAACTCTAATTCGAGGAAAAGCTAACAATAGGGATTTTATTCTGACCCAACTTCGACAGAAACATTAAACAGTAGTCACAAAACTCAACAACTTAATGAGTTCGGTTCCTGACTGTGTTTGACAATTCGACAACCTAGGGGCGTCACTGTTTATGAGTTTCGGTTTTTCCACGCAAATTTTTAATCAGAATGTCTAAACTATTGGGTTGTGGTTAAATCTTCTTTGACTAAAGTGCCTTTAATTGTCGTTAGTCACTTTTTCTTTAAAAGCTAACTTTAGTCAATGAAACTCTAAAACACATTCAATGTTTGTATTTGGCGCAAATAAAGCCGGTGAACGATGTTGAAAAACACGGAAATGTGTTTATAAACTACCATTAATGCGTTGAGTCCTTAATCCCACTACTTTTTTGGCATGAGCCTCAAGTTTAGCCTCATTTATATAATATTTAGATAAATGTTTATTGCTGCATTTCAAGCCACTTAAAAATTGGTTTCATCTTCATACAATTGGGTAAGATTAATTAGCTGTCAAAAATGGATTAATTAGCTGTCTTTCTAACTTCTAAATTAAAATTAAACAAAGAAAGATAAAAAATCTGATTAATTTTACACTGACTGATAGTGCTATTGCTTATTCAGCTATTAAGGGATTCGGAGGCAAAACCGTCTACAAACAATACACAGAACAACGACACTAAAGCTTTGGGTGCAAAACAATCAAACGCCGATATCCAAGCGACGAATGCAGGTGTAAGTGAGTCCTTTAGACGTCACTTGGACGAGATGGACACCTCGGAGAAGGAACGAATGCGCATACGCAGGAAGATGATGCAAGCAAAGATGACTGCTGCTGTGAGGAACCTTAATCTCGGAAGAAACGAGAGCTACATCCTCAACAGTGCCATAGCTCTGGGCCACAAAATTGACAGCAAAATGCGTGCCCGCCTCTTGAAAGCCTGTATGGCTATGCAGCAGGCCCGCACCGAACAATGTAATGTAGCTGCTGTTACGGCCTGCTATCGCATCCAAACCTCGGCTATTATCTCTACTGGTCTTCCACTTTTCATTGGGCCATGGTGCTCCTCCTATGTCACCAAGGGTACCGCGTGTCCAACTGGCGAAGCCCTAGAAAATGCGAAAACGGAGTGTGGGAACAGTGGATACAGTATCGGTTTGAAAGATGGATTCGGGGCACAGTTCGCGGTGGCACAATCAGGACTCCAACAATTTGCTCAAAATTTCCAAATAGTAGTGGCATATAAAAAACTCAAGAGTGCGGCTGCGCAAATAAGAGCTTTGCAGCACAACACGGAGGATGCTATTGAACAACTCGCATACCTAACGTTGGATGCCACTCGAGCAGTTTTCGCTATCGCTCTTTTGTTTTCCACTTTGTTGAAATTGTTGTTCATTAGCCTTTTGCTTAAAACACAAAGTTACATATCAAAATATCTTAAGGACATGGACTTTGACAACATCTACGTTGGAGACGTATATGAAAAGATAGATGAAAGGCGGAAGAATGAGTCACGAATGTACCTACTACCACTGAAGTCTCATGAGAGAAAAACTGTCTTTTGGCACAAAATAGGTTACACAGGTCCTGAATGGATACGAGCAATAAAGGCTGTAATCAAGTCGGCTATACTAGGAATCGGTCTGACAATGCTTTTTGCGGCGGATAGTTACCTGCACAGTCTTATGATTGTTCTCGATGTGGTTACACAAGGTGATCTGAAGCTGGGTGGTAGCAGTGGACAATCCGACACGTCGGCTGCTGCAATGTTTCTCGCTGGCGATGGTTTTGCTGCTGAGCTGATAAAAGGTATTCTAGACGGTTTCCTTAATCTGATGAACATCGACCTCACCTACAAATTGAGTGCCTGTGCTCCAAAAGTCATTCTCTCTTCGCACGACTTACGATTTCGGTTTGGTATTTTATGGTCAACACTGCTGCTACTCGGTATATTTTCGGGATACTTGCTCCGATTGCGTCACATTGTTGCTGGTTTCTTTTACCCCAATGCACATCGGAGACGGCAAATGCACTTGTATAATACAATGTTGGCTAATCGAGTAAGAGATCTCAACACAAACAGAAACCTACTTGTTCAACGCGTCAAAGAAAATCGCTTGCAGCACGAAGTCCGCCTGCTTTCCAAGCCACCCGTCCTTGCAGAGGTAGCTCCCAAACTAGCAAAAGTGCTAAAGCTAAGAAAGGGTACATGTGTCATTTGCCGTGATACGCGAAAGCCGGGACCAGAGATGTACATTTGTCCCGTGGACGCCTGCGCCACTTGTCGTCAATGCCAGCGCAGCATCTCAAATGATCCCGAGTTTTGTGTCGCCTGCGTGGACCGCAACGAGGCTAGCATCACCGATACCCTTAAAAAATTGGAGCAAATGTACAAAAACAGACCACTTAATGTAGTCTAGCTCCTACTGTCACCATAGATATATTCCTTCATGCATGGCCTTCTTAAAACTCTGCAGTTTGCTTCCTGATTTGCAGTAGATAAGTAACCATTTTTTGCCTTAAACTGACGTAATTTTCCTACATTGATGCTACTGCTTCTGCTAATTCTATTAAATAGTGCAGCTACGTCCAAAAAAGCAACCATTCAATAGATTGGAAATTAGAAATCGTATCAAAAGTCCTTATTTACTGTTCATAGATAGATACTAAATTTAGTGCTAGACATTACACCAATTTATGGATGGCTCACACTGCCGTTATAATTCTGAACATGCAGAAATTGCTGCGGAGAAACACAATAACGCAAAAGACCAAAGTCCATAATCTGATTCAGTCCCTAATGTATGTAGTTCAGGTGTAATTTGTGGCGTGAAATTATCAACAGCGCAAAATTTTCTCTTATTTTAGCTATATTTATAGTTGTTGTAACACAACAAAGGTAGGCTGTGATCCTTTTACCAACACCACCCACATTTTGTATCCAATTTGATAAGTAATTACGATGTTTTATTACAGTGGCAACATAATAAACTATCGTGATAATAAATAAATTTGAATGGGTAAGAATTGATGTATTGAAGTATGAAATCGTTAAAAGTAAAAGTACTAAAAATTACTTAAAATGGTCTATTAAAAATTAAAGCTTTTTACCGCAAGTCATAAAGTTGCTGTGGAAGACGGAGAAAACCTATCGCACACCGCGCTCTTTATGGATTTATCAGGAAGTAGTGATTTCCACCATTTAGTTAATATTCCACAAATCTAGTCCTGGTTACAGACTCTCTACTAGAGCGTTTTGGCGTCGACCATCAGAACCAACCGACTGGTCACGTACTCAGTCCTAAAAGTTGTCACATCATCTGATTAGATGGCATAACAGTCGGTAAAACAAAAATCACTTTAATAGCCTCGGTTCTGCATCCATTTAAGCAGATGGACACTAACATGAAACCGCTGTAGTTGACTTGCTTAATTAGTTCCAGACGCCAATTTCGATCCCTTACTTGTTTATTGTAGAATTCGAATCGCGAGATCGGCATCTTGCTTTAAACTTCCAAACCCTTGTCATTTGAAAAATTATGGTCACTTAAAATAGTGGTCTTTTAATCTATTGCAAATTCGTGAGACACTCTCAAGCATTCACATAAATAGATATTTCTGGATAAAAATGTGCATCTAATGTCAAAAGTTAAGAGCTTTCTAGAAATTTAATGCAATAATGTGACGAAAATTTGATTGGTGTTGATGATAAAACCTTTTAGATCGGGAAGTAGTGCAAATTGCCCGTCTGATTAAAATGGGGTACTTGACAGTGAGAAATGCATTTTGCTAATATGTAAAGGCCTAAAAGGATATCGTTTCAGGACATCGCACGCACCCAGACGAATTTAACTATTTCTGTACTAGCGTCTGAATGAAAAGGAAAATGTCTGAGCTACACACATTTAAAGTATTTATTTCCGTCAACACAAATATATTTTAGCTGCCAATGCAATATCCTATGCTTACTAAATCGCACGATTTGTTTTTCGAAAAGTCTGTAGCAGACTATCAGTAAAATAACCAGCAACGCTTTTACGTCACTACAAGTGCAATGCACAGGGCAAATTTGGCATATTTTGACTGAATGTCTAATTAAGCATTTTTAAAAACTATTCCTCCCTTTATGCTTTGATAACTTTTAAAATTAATATTTACAAAAATCTTACGTCAAAAAGTGTTTTGTAACATACGTCGATAAACTGCTGCTATCCATCAAAAAACACCACTAATTATGGCTTTATTTAAACTAACTCTAGTTGATTTCCAAATTACTCTAGTGCCCTTCATTTCAACATGGTCTCTAAGTGGAAAGCCATTCCTCTAAAACCATTATCTGTAGTTTATAGATATTAATGTAACAAACTTTATGTCCTGGGATATTAAAGTAACGCAAAATATATTTAAAATCTAAATACATCGGCCCGCTCTAAATCCTAGCTTAGGTCTGATGCTTCACATTTTTCATCTTTTAAGAAGTAGGTACCCTAGATATTATCTCTGCCTCTCCACTCATCAAAATCCTAACTCATATG